TTCCTGCTGCTTTTGCCAACATGTCTTCTGCATTACAGAGCCTGTTAGCCTTTCTGAAACTTGTGATGTGAAACATGATGCATAATTCAGCATTCCTTATCAGTTCTTTTTCTTAAAGAAGGGACGAAGTGCTAATAACAGGTTGTGTTTTAACAGCATTCTTCAACCAAACCAAGGACAGAATGCTCCAGTTCACAGACTACTTTGCAGACAAGGGTAAGGGCACAGCATGATTATAGCCTGAAGATTAAAGAAAATGCAAAGTGCACGAGCACAGTAATTTCAGTGATATTTAAACACACTGGTGTAACTGTTGTTTAGAGTAAAATAATTCCTTCTCACAATATCCTGAGAGAGTTGAAGCTTTGTTTTACCTTCTACTGCAAAAAAGTATGTAATGTTCTCATCCTCTTGTGTGTTGTCTCCATTTACACTGTGTTCCAACATTTCTACTTGTAGCATTCATTCCATGAAGCTTTGCTTCCACATAATGAAGTATCTATATGTTTAAATGTAGACTAATGCCACAGTATCCAAACTGAATCAGTTTCTTGAATAGAGTTTTAAAAGTCTGTTCATGGAGAGATGTTCTCTTACTTAATATATCTACTTAAACCATAATCATGTCAATAGGAATTTCACACATACTCAGGAGGAGGCTGTAAAAAATGTTTTAATGCCAAACATAGTTTGATAGTATCTATAATTTTGGATACAGCCTTTCAAGTTTGATGCAAGTGACTTGTTAACTCTTTTGTATTTAATTAGAACCCCTAAGACCTCAAGGAAGGGGGTTGAGCAAAATAGAAAGAAGGCTCCAGAGAGCAGAGTGTCTAACAAGGCTGTTTCAGGTGTGTAGAAAATCGGTGCTTGGATCTTGTAGTAAATAAGTTAGTAGTATCTAGAAAAACTATATGGGGGATATACTGTTTTCCTTTTCTTGTGCACCTGCTTTGCTATGTTTTAAATCTAACCTATCTCTTGAAACAAACGTGCTGGTAACTTCACCATCCACTTTGAAATTCTAATGTACTGCACAGCTCATTTGCTTTCACTCACCAGATGCCCAGTCATAAAAGTTTGCCAGATATATTCACTGCAACTGTCTGAGAAGCTAATAGTAGTCAAAATAGACTTGAATCAGAATTAGTTGTTCAGTTGCACTTGGTGATGGTACATAAAAATAAGCAGAGGTAGTAAATAATTTATCAGAAATATAAAGAAGAAAATGAAGCAATATACTTTTAGCAATGAGAGGTAGCCTTTAAAGCAAGTTTTCATCTGTAAGTTTGCAAAAAATGTGTCTGTTTAGTAAATGAGGGTGCTGATGAGCAGGAGCAACACAACAATCAGAAGTAAACAGTAACAAATTAATCCAAATACTCTTTTTTTTTTTTCATTATTCTTGTTGTTTTAAATTACCTTTGCAAAGAGCTTTGTAGCTTTAATACTACTCCAGTTAACTATTGTCTTTTTCTGGCAAGAAGGCATTTCTTTTAGGCATCAGCTGGTGATCCTAAATAGAGGGTTTTTTTTTATTTTGTACTTCTTCAATCCAGAGTTCTGTGCTAAAAAGAAAAGTACAAACTAGTCAGTTTAGATTTAGGTTAGATGTTAGGAAGAAATTCTTTACTGCAAGGGTGGTGAGACACTGGAAAGGGTTGCCTAGGAAAGTTGTGGCTGCCCCCTCCCTGGAAGTGTTCAAGGCCAAGTTGGACAGGGCTTTGTGCATCCTGGGCCAGTGGAAAGTGTCCCTGCCCTTGCCAGTGGTTGGAACTAGATGATCTTCCAGGTCCCTTCCAACCTAAAACATTCTATGATTTATGATTCTATGATAATAAATCCGTAGAGTCTTATTTGTTGAGTTTTGAAAAATTATTGTAAATAGCAGAGATGCTCAGTCAGTAGCCTGGAGGCTGTGCCAGGCAAGGCATTTAATGTGATCTGATTGTGTTAGAAAGAAGGTGGTGAAGGATCAGGTTCCTTCTGCAACTAGACATAATAATCTCCTTTGTTTCTGTCCAGTCTGAGTAAGTGTTGTGGAAAAGAAATAGAGGGCAGGAGGTGTGTACACATAGGGGCAGCAGCCATGTGTGGTCTTTCCCGCATTCCTGTCCAGGCTGAGCAGGGGCAGGTTGCCCATGGGAGATGGTGTGTCCTGGGAAGCCTGTTGGTGTTCAGGCCAGCACTTCAGGAAGGTGTCAGACTTGCTATGTGTGCAGCAGGTCAGTTGTATGATGTAGGAGAGATATCTTGTGTAATTGCTCCCCCTGCCACTGGAAAAGGTTGGGTGGTAAAGGACTAACTCTTTTTAATAAAGTTTGGCTTCTTCAATTCTTTTGCCTACCTTGCTGGGCTTTTTTTACACTTCCTTATACTGTTCTGTTCTATATGTGAGATTTTAATGTAGCTTGAAGTGCACTTGAGGAGAGTTAAATGGTAGTGTTAGAGCACTAATAAAGCATTATGCCTGTCAGCCTCTTGGTTGTCCTACGAGATCAGAGGTGAGCTGAAGAGTACAGTACTGGAGAGGATGCCTTTTTGTTTAGTGGGGAGCAGTGCTGAGATGTGAGGGAACCTGCTGTGCTCAGGGCTCCATGGACATTTCCAGAGCTGCCTTGCACTGTGCTGAGTGTAGCCCTTAGGCACTTGTAAGTAACCACTGCAACTCTGACAGAGTATCACAAGATCCTAAAAAGAACTGGCATGCACATTGTCTTGTCCACTTAATTGCCTGGTAATGACTTATCCTCCATGGCTGTCTTCCATTTCCACTGCTCTGCACCATGTGGTATGAATCTCACCACGTTGTATGAATGTTTGCTCACGTTGCTGGACACTCCATAACTGCCTGAACTTACCAAATTCTGAGTTGTGCTACTTTTTAGCAGCCTGCAGTGCTAGCAGCCCTTACTGCTGGAAAATACTTGTGCTATGCATAGTATAATATGGTGTTCTAAATATATATATTTATATATAAATGTAGATATTTGTTCCATGTGGAGAGATTTATTTTTTTCTTTTTATACTTGAGCAGCTTTCACTTACAACTCTGCCTGATGACCTTACTCATACAGCACTTTTAATTCTGGTTGTGTATCTCTACCTATGGAAACATGCAACTGTCTCTGGGTTTATTAATATCAGAGCTGGGGAAAAAGAAACAGTTATCGTAAATATTTGACCTGTATATATCTATTTTTTAATGTATAGTTTGTTTAAAATAGTACATGTCATTGTTAAACTTATCAATCATTTGTTCTTTGTCTTGGGGGTGTTACAAACAGACTTAAGAACTTGTGAACTGTAGTTGCAGATGTTTTAGAGCAGCAGCAAAGAAAATGGAGTATTACTGAGGAAGGAGATCCTATTAAATGTCATTACTTTCAAAATTATAAGTAGCTTTGTAAGGCATTTTCGGTGTAACATTATGAAAACTATGATTTTAAAAATAACCACTGAATATATAATACTGCTTTAAAAAATAATTGGTTTAGACTTTTTGGCTATTTTTGTTGGATAATCCTGTTACAAAAACCAGTACTACTAATTGTAACATGGTAATGTTTCTGCCTAATTTTTAGGAGCATATGCAGGAAGAACCCAAAGAAAGAAGCCAAATGTTGTGACAATTTAAGAAGACAGCACTCACTGGGATAAAATGGCTTTGTTATAATGATGGCATTCTCAGCACTGATTGAAATATTTCATCTTCTGTATGTACATGTACATTTGGAAATGCTACACCTACAATGACACATTAATACAAGCATATTGAGGTAATAAAGGGCTGTGAAGCTCTAATACTTGTGGAAAAATTGCATGTTAAAACTTACTATATATTCATATTACTGTGTACACGTAAGATTCATAATCTTGTGTATTTAAAGACCACCACAGGACAAATTTAAGCTAATGTGTGACTTTTTCACACTCTGCATTACTTAAAATTGTCATTTCTGTGTATACCATAAATAAGTTGTGTCTAAGTATTTTCAGTTGCATACCATAAAGTTAAAGCAGTTAAATAAGAAACCCAACTTCATTCAAACAAAACTGAGCTCTTCCATCAGTGAATATGTCAGCAACCTTTTTGAATGTACTTTCTGTACAAATGTGAATACCTCAATTTAAATACTAGTGGCCTCAATGTTCTGCATGTCTGCTGAGCTGCACAGACATGGATCCAGACTAACATTCCACTGTTCTGCAAGAGCCCTGGGGTTTTTTTCCTTGCTGTCTATTGCATTTTTTTACAGAAACAACTTTTGACTAAGATGAGAAGCATGTGTTCTGCAAAAATTTCAGAAGGCAAGATTTTAAATGTTTTACCACTTCAGAATTATAAATGATTGTCTATAATAATAATTCAGATAGCTTAGGTTTCATTAATGACAGTTGCATTTTTTCTGAGCAGTTTTTTTTTTACTGTGATCGAACAGGCCCTTGTACCGAATTCATGATTTCTGGGGAAAGGGGAAATCCCTACCTAAGCCCAACAAAGACATTGTGATACTTACCAAAATTTAACACTGAAAGATCATGGTAATATTTTGCTTTGGTCTTTCTACCTGATAGATGTTATCCTTCAACTTGGGGGGAGCAGAGTTTTGTAACTTTTGGGTTTTGAGGAACTTGAGACATGATGCTGACATTCCAAGCTCACTAGAAAAAAGCTTGGCCATGAGAGTCTTCGCAGCGTTCACTGTTTTGCCCTGTCACAGTAATAGCAGAGAACTGTCTCCCTGAATGTGAAACGGGTTATTTTGTTGCTTTCTGCCTGTGGACATAATGCAGTGCCCTAACTTCAGAAGCTTTATAACATGTTGACACAGGTAAAAGAGAAGAAAGGTGGGCATTGTGTTAGCATGAAAGAGGAATGCTAACGTGGGATAAGAAGCAGTGATGTTGGCTTGCTGGTGGCACTAGTTGTGGCTTTTATCTACCACCAGGTCTGTCATCTGCAGCTAGGGACATTGTGGTAAGTTACTCAGCCTGCATACTTACCAAAAAGCAGAAATGCTATCTAAACACTTTAAAGATTGATGCTACTTGGTAGCTCTTTATTTACTGTGGCACTGGTTTGAGAGCTTGAGGTGGGGGCTCCCCTAATGGGGTTAGAGTTCACACCAAGTGGAGGAGCTGCCTCCTTCACACAGACTGTGGTTCTTTACTACTTCAGATGAAATACAGAAAAAGCCCAAGGTAAGCTTCCTTCTCGCCTCACAGGCACCAAAACTCTCTTCTGGTTCCCAGCTTTCCTTAGGAGTGGAGAACAGAGAAAAACTTAGAGGAAGAATTTACAACGACAAAGTAACCCGTGTTGCAGGTGACACAATGTGCTGTTAATGTACCAGTACTAAAGATGGATGTTTATAAAGGATGTTTTATGTGCTGTATTTATTATTAGCATAGGCAGTATGTTGAAGTAAAAGTAGGTTTAGTTTAAGTGTTAGTAAAAATGAATGCTTACCTTCTGTTCAGGCCTCACCTCTGAACCTTTCAGTTGAAGCATGCTTCCACTGTGTGTGATAAACCACTGTAGCACAAAGTGGTTTTTAACTTTCATGAGGCCTTCCTCTTGACAAGTGCCAGAATCTGTTGTATTTGAGATGTTTTGTATTTATACATATTTAATTTTGGTTTCGTGTGGAGTTGTAATACCATCATAAAGGTGTATTTATTTTTGTACTTTCATTTCCTTTTCACCGGTCTTGCTTTTTACTGAAAACGATGCACAATAAACGTTCAACCCTGGCAAAGAGCGGCTGGTCCGGGCCCCGCCCGGCGCGGGGCGGGGCGGGGAAGGGCGGCGGGAGGCGCCGCCTCGGGTGGCGGGGGGACAAGATGGCGGCCTTCCCGTGGTGAGGCTGCGGGCAGCGCCGGGGAGCGGGCTCTGAGGGGGCTGCGCGGCCCGCGGCGGCGGGAGGCG